ACGAACCTGCGTCCCCTGCATCGGCAGGCGGACTCTCAACCACTGCGCCACCAGGGAAGCCCCAAAGGCATTTCTTGAATCAATTTCAAAATACAAGCAAATCTGAAACTATGAAATTTAAAATTTGTAAGGCATATAATCTGTGTAACATAAAATTGAACCTGCTTTAGAACTAATTATTTCAGCATCTTCCAGGTGACTTCTACGTGACCCAACAAAAATAGGCTTTCTTCACCTGTTTATACAAGTGTTCCATACAACACTTGATCAAGGGAAGGGGTGACAAATGAAGTCGGCCCTTTCACATACTGAGATTTCAACTGAATGGAATATAGTTAAAGGGAAAAGAGCCTCTCTTTCTGAGGAGAGCCATCATCTAACAATACAGCAGGCAACTGGCCGGGGCATCCATGTTGCCCGGATTCTTGGAGACTCTCCCACGTATTCTGTGCTTCTCCAGGAGAGCCAAGGACACCCTAAGACTCGACTGAGCGAGCCTCCATGTGGAGGCTGTTATATGTCTGAAGCACATAAGTTAAGTAGGCATTTTATGGACCTTCAGAAAGCTCTCATAAAACTCTATCACCCCAAACCCAGCTAACCAGAAACTGGTAACAGGACAGCGTGAGCAGGTGAGGGAAATGCTTCCGTGGTCATTTGCCTGAACGCCACTGATGTTGTTTCAATGCTCTGTTTCCTGGTATTAAAAAACAAAAATTCAACCAACTAAAATTTGAAGGTCTAGTTGGTGTCACTGACCAATTAATGAGTTGGGCGGCATTGCCATCCAGCAAGTATAGGGGAGTTCCAAAGGGCTCCAGAAAGGGGAAGATTTTCAAAAGCAAGACAAAAACCTCATAAACAAAAAAGACGATGTCAGGCTTAGGTCACCTACTTATGGGGGATGGAAGGGGTCATTGTGGTGGATGACTTCCTCTTCCTCTGTGGGTGGAGAGGGCCCGTGTGGCAGGTAACCTCATTGGTGCCGACCAGAGAATTCCCGACTGACCAGTTAAGACTGCATTTCTGGGGGAGCTTGAAGCTTCAGTGAGGGCTGGTGTTAAGCCCTGGTTTAGTGGCCTGGCCGAGCATAAGTGATTCCCTTTGGGGGCTGTGGCTTTCTTTTTAACACTGGGTACGTAAAGAAGCCGTTTCTCTCTCCTCAAGCTATCTGTAACCCATAGTCATTTGGTAGACTCTTGGTGTAAACTGAAACGCAGCCTTTTAAAATGACACCTGCGGGTTTCCCTGGGTGATGCAGTGGTTAAGAATCCGCCTGCCAGTGCAGGGGACACGGGTTCAAGCCCTGGTCAGGGAAGATCCCACATGCCGCGGAACGGCTAAGCCAGTGCGCCACAACTACAGAGCCTGCGTGCCACAACTACTGAAGCCCGTGCGCCTCGAGCTCGTGCTCCGCAACAGGAGAGGCCACCGCAATGAGAGGCCCGCGCACCTCAACGAAGAGTAGCTCCCGCTTGCCACAGCTAGAGAAAGCCTGCGCGCAGCAACAAAGACCCAACGCAGCCAAAATTAAATAAATAAAATATATTTTAAAAAAACAAAAACAAGCAACACAGAAATGTCTTACTTAAAAAAAGAAGTATCATGCTGGTATCTCCAGTGTTGTTTAGCGCGTGCCCTTCCGGGTTATCTGATTCTGATTTCATCGGGTCCCTGCCTTGCATTGTCTGTGAGCTATTTTACAGCTCTATAAATTGCCAGTGACCAGCAGCAATGAAAATACTTCCTTTTTATAGACATGCAAATACATTTGGTCCAGTAGAGGTTCACTTGTATTTTTCCTGTGAAAAAAGCCAATCTCCATCTATTTTAAAGTTTATTTTAGCATTCCTTTACTCCATACAAATTTGTGGTTTTCGAACCTCTTTTTTTGAATTTGTAACCCCTTTCCTGGTTCTCTCATTAGTTAATGAGTTAAGTAAACCTTTGACACACTGTACTAGTTTTCTAGGACTGTTGGAACAAATTACCACAAGTCTGGTGTCTTAAAACGACAGAAATTTATTCTGTCACAGTGCTAGAGGTCAGAGTCTGGAATCAAGATGTTGGCAGGGTTGGTTCCTTCTGAGGGCTGTCGGGAGGATCTGTTCCAGGCTCCCGTGCAGCTTCTGGTGGTGCCAGCCATCCTCGGTGTCCCTTGGCTTGTGGCCACATCCGCAGTCTTTGCCTCTGTCTTCACATGGACTTTTCCTGTGTGTCTCAGATCTCCTTCTCCCTTCTCATGTAAGTACACCAGTCACTGGATTTAGAGCCCGTCCTCATTCAGGATGATCTCAGCTAGGGAGCCTTAACTTAATTACATCTATAACAACCCTATTTCCAAAGAAAGTCACATCACAGATTCCAGAGGTTAGAACTTGGACAAACCTTTTGGGGGAACGTTGTTCCCATCATGTCTGTGTGTCATGCTTCTTAATATACACCTGCACTCTTTTTCTTTAAGGGCAGCTTGAAGATTCAAGGCCCTGGAAACACAGGGTGCTGGGAGATTGTGCAGATATGCTTGGGGGTGGGGATCCACTGGGGGAGACTGGAGGAGACTGTGTCTGGGGTGTGAGTGGAACGGGAGTGGCGGTCACTGCGGGAAGGTTTCCTTGGTGCTCCTGGGGCCCAGCAGTCCCAGTCTGAGGGAACTGACCCCATACAGCACCGCCAGGGGTGGGGTACCCCTGATTCAGTCCAGGGGCTTGTGTCCTGCCATGCGGAGGGAGGACCTGCAGCCCTCAGCCCTGGTGGGAGCCCAAGCTAGTACCAGGGTCCTCTGATGTGGAAATAGGTCAGAGTTCATTCCTTTGTTCATCTGGGGGCTGGGAAACAGCTATAAACCCTCCTCCCACCCCCATTCCCACCCCAGGGCAGTTGATGGCCCAGGCTTCCAGTGCCATCTGTACCCGAGTACCCGGTCAGCTCATCCTGCTACCTTGCACCTTGCTTTTGTCCCTTC